AGATTCATTTAAGTAATTTAAATACAATAAATTTCCATATTTTAATTGTACAATTATGTGTCAACCAAGTCTTACATAAATGCTATAATTTAACCTTGTGCTAAAATAAATGGAAATGGCTGAATTTTCCTTCAATCAAATGATCTTAAGATTGTGAGAGTTACACAAGGAGCCAGCATTGTGGTACAACAGGCTAAGCTGCTGCATTACAAAACCAGTATTCCATACTGGAGCATTGGATTGCTGGTTCCAGATGCTCTGCTTCTGATTCAGCTCCCTGATAATGTGCCTGGGGAGGCAACAGAAGATTGCTCAAATACTTAAACACCTGCCATACAAGTGGAAGACCCGAGGGAACTCTTAGTTCCTGGTTTCAGCCTGGCCCAGCCCTGACCTTTGCAACCATATGTGGAGTGAACCAGCATATGGAAAATCCATCTTTCTCTCTTTCTGAGACCCCCTTTCAAATAAATGATTAAATAAATAAATCCTTTAAAATAGTTTTACAAAATGGCTCTGTCAATATGAGGGAAAATGCTTGAGAATTATTAAATGAATGATTATTTCTGCCTAGGATGGTGAGGGCTTGACATACAAATGTGAAGCATGGACTTAATTTGCACTGGACAAGGCCTGATCAATGCAGACAATAGCTGGATGCTATCACCAGAAGCAAGACACTGGTATTAGTGAGCAAATATTTCTTGTATTTGGATATAGACGGGGAAAAATCAGGCTCAAACTCATACTGGCTGCACATGTCACCAAGTAGGGCCCACCCAGCTTTGTTCTACTTAGGAAGCAGAGGTCTCAAACAATAGTTATAGTACTACAGAAGAAATACTCTCTGCATTTGGATTGCTGGCCAAAATTCCCTGAGAGCAGTAAAGCTAAGAATAGCTAGCACTTTTTCAGTACTTACTAAGTAACAGAATGAGCAGTTTGCTATAACTTTTATTCTTCAAAAAACCTGATGTCATTTTATCTGCTTTTTAAAAGCTGATAAATAGAGGCCAGCACTGTGGTGCAGTGGGTTAAAGCTCTAGCCTGCGTCCCGGCATCCCATATGGGCACTGGCTCAAGTCCCGGCTGCTCCACTTCCGATCCAGGTCTCTGCCGTGGCCTGGGATAGCAGTAGAAGATGGCCCAAGTCCATGGGCCCCTGCACCCCCATGGAAGACCTGGAAGAAGCTCATGGCTCCTGGCTTCAGATCAGCTCAGTTCTGGCCATCGTGGTCATTTCGGGAGTGAATTAGAGGAATGGAAGACCTCTCTCTCTCTCTCTCTCTCTGGCTCTACCTCTCTCTGTAACTCTGTATTTCAAATACAAATAAAATAATTATTTTAAAAAGTTTATAAAGAAAATGTGGAAAACATGGTAAGCTTATAAGTCTGTGCTTACTGCAGGGTTTCAGGACACAGTATGTGTCATGTTCTATTCTGTAGTATAACATTGTTAGAACACAGCATTGTCCTACTGGCTTTTCAGGCAAGGTAATTCAGTTTTATACGTCATAAAATTAAAAGTTATTTCTAAGTATGAATTCTACTTTTCTTGGTACACTGTAGGCTGAGCAGCTAGTCAATCCATGCCCATTGGGAAAAACCCTTAAGCAATGATGCCTAACGAGAACGTGGGAAATTCTATCAACTAAAGTGAGAACTGGGGACAAGTGGAATTAATTTAGTGTTAAACTTCTTTTTTAAAAATATTGTATTTATTTGAGAGTTTGAGTTACAGACAGAGAGAGGGAGATACAGAGAGAAATGCCTTCCATCGGTTGGTTCACTCTCAAATGGCCTCAAGGGCCAGAGCGGGGCCGATCTGAAGCCAGGAGCCAGGAGATTCTGCCAGGCCTCCCACATAGGTGCAGGAGCCCAAGCACTTGGGCCATCTTCCACTGCTTTCCCAGGACTAGAATCAGAGAGCTGGATTGGAAGAGGAGCAGCTGGGACATGAACTGACCCCAATATGGGATGCTGATGATGTAGGCATAGGCTTTACCCGCTATACCATAATGCTGGTGCCTAAAATGTATTTTGAGAACTCAATTAAACATGACTCAATTAAAAATTGTGCTTTCTCTGCCACAGGCAGATGCTCAGCCCACTACATCACAGCATCAGCCCCTGAGAAACTTCTTGATACCAAGGTAATTAGTTGTTGGTGGAAGTGAGGTGGGGCATGATGTCCAGCCTGCATCCTATTTTATTACCATGACTTCTGAAATGTTATGACGGAGGTGCCATTGACTCGTTTGCTTTTCTTACTGGAAATTTTGTTGAGATAATTGTAGACCCCATGTAGTCTTAAGAACTATACAGAGGGGAGGGTTGTGGTGTAGCGGGTAAAACTGCTGCCTGCAGTGCCAGCATCCCATATGGACGCCAGTTCGAGCCCCAGCTGCTCCAATTCTGATCCAGCTCTCTGCTATGGCCTGAGAAAGCAGTAGAAAATGGCCCAAGTCCTTGGGCTCCTGAACCCGTGTGAGAGACCTGGAAGAAGCCCTTGGGTTCAGATCGGTGCAGCTCCAGCCATTGCGACCAATTGGGGAGCAAACCAAGGGATGGAAGATCTCTCTCTCCCTCTCTCTCTCTCTCTCTCTCCCTCTCTCTCTCTCTCTCTCTGCCTATCCTGTAACTCTGACTTTCAAATAAATAAATAAATCTTTCAAAAAAGAACTATACAGAAAGAACCTGTGCACCTTTTATCTGTTTACCATCAATAGTAATATACTCATGCTTCTTACTTTGTGGAAATTTATATTTCTAGGAAATAGGACCAGGTTACTTTAGGCAAAATATTAAAGTAAGATGGCTGTTTTGGCATGGAAGTTAAGATACCAATTAGGATATCTGCATTCCATGTTAGGGCACCTGGATTCTAGTCCCAGTCCTGCCCCCAATTCCAGTTTCCTGCTAATATGCACACTGGGAGATTCTCAAATAACTGGTCTCTGCCACCGACATGGGAAACCCAGATTGAGCTCCCAAGACCAGCTTTGGCTTGGCTTGTCCACAGCCATTGAAATGCTTGAGGAGTGAACCAGTGGATAGATGATCTCCATCTTTCTGCCTCTTAAACAAACAAATAAATTTGTAAAAAAAGGTCAAAGTATGTGTATAATTGAGCCAAACTGCCAATTTCTTTTTTTACCCCTAATTCAGTGGCTTGGGCGAATACAGAGAGTGTATAAAATAATGGCTTCTGCAAAAACTGCAGATTAACCCATATGGGAGGTGTCAGGCTAAAAGGGGGCTAAAATATACAGAGGTTGACCTAACAAATCCCATGAAAAGAGGAGGGGGGAAGGTAATGATGACCAAACCAGCACCTGGTTCAATGAGCTGCTGAGAACTAAAAAGGATGACCCAAATGGGTTCAAATACAGAGTGTAACAGTTTGATTCCATGGGAGGAGTTTCTGCTGTTAGATATGGAAAAGAAGATAAGTAAAAAATAATCTGCCATGAAACTACAAGGTAGATAAATCACCCCAGTGCCCTACCCAGATTCTACTACCAGGAACTGATGTGTATTGCAGTTACAGATAGAGAGGCAAGCACAGGGGAAATTAGAGGCATTGCAGAAGGATTAGCAGAAGGCAGTGGGAGCAGGGCTGCTTTGACACAGGTGTGTGGAAAGCCAGCAGCTACGACCTAAGTGCCTCAGGGCTGAGGCCCCCTGGAATGTGTAGAATAACCATAATTTGTGGGGTGCTTCAGGTATTGGCCCCTCTCTACTTCAGTAGGAGATGAGGGACTTGGACAGGGCTAGAATTATAGCAATCACACTAGTAGGGCTGAACTGTGGAATGCTACATTTATTATTGTTTGGATCCTATCCCTTCAAGTCATGTGGCAAATGGAAATGCCTTTTAAATATTTTTAATGGGAGATACTGGCCATGTTCTAACATGTAAAAAGTTTTTTCTATTTCATTTACTAAGGATAGAGAAATAGTTGGGGGAAAATTGCCAAAAAGTTTACAAAGATGTAAGACTAACAGTGAGAGAGTCCACATGGTAATTTGTGCATATGGGCAGTAGAGAACTTGGCTAAAGGCTAGCTATTGGAATTCTCATTCACTTACCCACTCATATTCACAGAAAATGTTTCACTTTCAGTAAGAAAAATAAAGCTTCCATGTAAGTACAGAGAATAAACAAATAACATTTAGTAATATAGATATAATCCATTTGTAGAGAATGTAGTACTAGTGCAAATCCACATAAAGGTATAAAATTATATCCATACAAAAGTATAAAATTATATACACATGCTTCAGAAGGAGCATACTATACAAGTAATACTAATAGTAAGATCCTGCAGTTTGCTAAATCTCCAGTGCTCTTGAATTGAGTTTTGAGGACTTAAGAGTCTCCAACAAACCTGATTCAACAGGTACATCCAACAGCTTTCAATGGACTTTGCTGTCATTTAATCACATTTAGAAGTGATTTTTAAAGGAAAAGTTATCTTTAGCAGAAATATCTTCAGAATCTGACACATAGCAGAATTTCAGTAAACATTCTTAAATGAATGAGCAAAGTAGTTAATGAAGGTTCTCAGTAATATGGATTTGAAACTTTGGTGCCCTATGGCTCTTGATGACAGGTATAAAGCAAAAACTAAATATTATGCAGATGGATTTGGGTGTTCAGAATTTTCTCAGCAGAAATAAATTCAAAACCAAATTATTTATTGCATGTGATAAAGGTTGTTTTCCTTTATCTAACTTAGGGATGTACCAGGCTCTTACCCTGTATTGATTACAGACATTTGCCTCCCTCAGCTATTTCATGTAAAAACTGGATGGAGACTCTGGGTCTGAGTTATTTCTTAATAGAATCTACAGGGCATTTTATGAATTTCTCACAAGGTTGGGCATTTCTGTGCCTCCAGACCTGTGAGACAGTGCTACTCCTCAATGTATACAGAAGGTAGAATGGCCAATAACAAGGAGTGGAAAGGTGACAAAAGAAAGAAGCACCAGCTCACTGATGTTTGTCATTTTTATTTGCAATACTTTAGGTCCAAGTTTCAAACTGCAATATTTTTTACACTCAAGACACAGTCATGCACAATCCATATTTCAATTTTCTATTGCTTCAACCACAATTTAAAGTAACAATATTGGAAACAAAAATCTTTAAAAAGGTCAAATGCTGAGGTCAGAAGGATGGAACCATACCATCAGCAGGTCTACAAAAGAAATAACTTACTTACTTAAAAATAAAAAAAAGACCATAAATACCCTTAATCCAAAGTTACAGAAGAATTTCACTACACATGGGTTTACAGATAACACATTTTGACAAAAGTAATGCACAGCCAAATGAGATACAATTTTGATAAACAATGAAAATGTAGATCCTCCTCAACTTGTTTTGTCTGGATGTTATGAGTATAATCCCAGTAGACATCAGTGCCCTTATGATCTGGCTCCTTCTGGCTAGTGTACTGAGATTTAAAACTCAACCCACTATTGGTTATAGGATTCTGTGAAAGATCTTATCATCGCTAATGAACATAGTATATGCGGGTCCATAAAGCACGCCACACACAAGCACACATATTGAACTTGAATTTTGTACTCAGGGCTGATTGGCACTCTGTTGTAGGCAGAGCACTGGGACTATCCACTAACTTCCAGTTTACCTTCTTCCTACTAGTACACTCCTTCAACTGGCCAATGACTGAGGGAGTTGTCATTAGAAATGCTATCTTTGGTTCCCAACAAGTGAGTTTATCAACACACCTTAATGCTAATAGCATGTAATTTTTCATATTTCTCTCCAACTTGCCTATGTTTAGGTCCACTCTTTATAGTCCCAGCCATTAAAAAGCATGGGTTCTGCCAGTTTGTGCCATTTATGAATTAAACTTGATAGAGTCCAGCACTGATTCATAGGAAAGGAGAGGCCCAAGTACAGTTCTGTTCTAGCAAAGGTGACAGTATATTTCTGTTTTAGTAGCAAATACTGGACACAGCTTAATGAAAACCAGACTTTACATGCATAGTGTATGGAAAATGAAAACTGGGAACACTTAACAGAAAAAAATGGACATTAAAACAAAAACAAAACAAAACAATTGTGAGTGAATTGGAAGGCTGCCACAAATTTTGTCAACATCTCCTGGTATTATTAGCCTCATTTACTTGAGTTTTTCATCATATTATGTAGTTTTCTTGTTTAACTGCAATGGAAGAGACCCAGGCTTAAGCATGTGATTTTTGCCATCCCTTTAGCAGGCTGCATTTGCAAGGCAGCCTATAACACCACAGAGTGCTAGAGATCTTGAAATGCATTGCAGATCATCTAGTTCAATATCATTACTTTATGGATGAAGAAACAGCCATGGAAAGGTTAAGAGAATTGCCCAAGGTCACAAAGCAAGTTAATGATAAAGCCCATATTAAAAGCTAGGTCTCCTTCCTAGGGTAGAATTCCTTCCACTACATCTGATTTATTCTCTGTAATTGCTCTTGATTTCCTTTTAGGGACTAAATAAATCAAGTGAACATGGTGCTTGCCTTACTGCTGATATTAAGGAATAACATTCACCCAATGGCAGCTTCCAAAGGAGACTGATGACACCAAACCCACTTCTATAAGTTTATCTTGTAAGTTCACCCAAATTAAATGTCAGTAAATGCTACGAGTTGTATATACTTGTACACAGAGTTGTACACTTGGAGGTGGTACCTCAGTTCCCGCATTTGCAGATCCTGTTAGACACTGTTTAATATTAAACAGACATTCTCAATGCATGAGAAGTTGAGTTCATTTGGTCACTAAAAGAATGTGGATCAGAAAAGGAGTGAAAAAGTAAAACAAAAAAAAAGATTATATCAGAAACAAACCTTATATGAAAAATTCCTTCACAGGAAAAACATTTCCATTATTTCCAAGGTCCCATTTATTTCCTTCCCAATCCACATGCAAATATATGTTCAGAACTGTGTGTTAATTTCCCTCCAAATCCCAGGCCCATTAGACTGCCAGTTTACAAACACTGGATTTCAGTCCTCCTACTCAGAGATTGTGAAGTGCTTGCATCACTGCTCATGCCTTGGTTTAACTGAATACTAACTGCAAGTAGCTCAGAAAAAAGATCAGGAAATTAAACCAGGGATGGCAGAAGACTTCCATATGTATTTTTACATCAAGAATGGCCAATGAAACGCCTGTGAATTCTCTAGGTACAGGGTCTGCTTATGTGAAACTAAGTAACATATTTGAAGCCACTACCTCATTTTTAAAGTCCTCACCTAAATTTTCCTTGGTGAGTTAGAAGGAAATTCCTCTGTTTGGTAAATGGACTCCCTTTCTCCTTAAAAATCATAATTACTGCATACAACTTATAAGTAAGCAGTACAAAGGCCCATGGAAACCATTTTAAGTTAAAACTGACAGGACTGTAACTGAATGGCAATTGACAGAAACAGTCCTAAATATCTGTATTAGTGACTTCAGGGTCAGCTTTGAATTACACTATAACTTTTATTGAAATGAGTGGGGCTTGCTTGTTGATCATTTGAAGAAGAATCCTACCTAAAGGAAATAATATCCTGTTAGACAAAGAAAAGGTGGGAGCTGGGGATTTCATCTTTCTATTCTTCCAAAATTCAACCTAAAAATTAGCTACAATGATCCAGAGAGGTGATAGCTAAAACAGACATTATCAAGGGGGATAATCAAATGGTCACCCCTCAAATCTAAAGCAATCAAAACAGACACCTGGATGCCATACCACAGCAGAGGACAGCCTGTTTTAAGGCAGAAGAATATGTTTGGAGTTCTAGTAGGGACATCTCCCTAACTTTAACTTATAGATAATAGTCTCCTAAGAAAGCACGTGCCATACCTGAGCGTGTGCCAACCTCAGCACCCAGGCAAATATAAAGCCTATGCAATAATTGTAACTAGCAAATACCTGTGCCCTGCATGCTCTGGGCTCTGGTCAGAATGCAACTGCTTCTGGAATCTCTTCTAATTTTCTACAGTTCCCTTTCTGATGTTTGTTTATTCTAAAGAAATATTGTATCAACATCAAAGAAAAATGTTTAAAGAAAAAATTTCACATAATCCCACCACTCCAACATAACTGATTTCAAAAATCTGTGTTCCCAGTCTTTGTCCATAAGCATGATTATTTTTAAATGGTTGTAATCCCTATTTATGTTATTTAAAAATGATTTTATAGAATCTCTGAGAACTGGCAGCCTCATTAGAAATAAACAACCCATTGAGCAAAGGAATATAATTATTTACATGATCTTTGAGCTGAGAAATAGCCTTTATAGACAAACATCTCAAACTATCAAAACAGTTATACAGACAACAGGAAGCAATTTCATATTTTTTTTCTTTTAGCAATGGAATGTGCTTCACAGGGGAGGGATAGATGTGAGGATTGGGTGGTTAAACTCAAACATTGGGGTGCAATTCACAAGCCTAACAGAAATCTGAATAAGACAAGGAATAAATACTTGAGTTAAATCTTCTTACATGACTTGGCCATCCAGTAGCCAAAAATGGAACATGGACGTACAAATATTTACAATGACACATAGACAAGATCAGCAAGAACGAAGTCATTACCCAGCATGTTGACTGATTTGAGGGGACAATGCCATCCAAAAATCCTCATGGGATTATGACAACGCACCGGATCCTTGCTACAACATTAATGTTCTTTTCTTTCTTAAATAAATAATCTCTACTGTGCTTCTCACCCTTCCCTGACTTTCCCACTGCCCTTTACCTACCTCAGGACATTTCGGAATCAACATTCGATGATGTGCCCTCATTATCTCAGAGCACACTAGCAACATTAAAGATTTGGATAGACTCACCCGTGTTAAGATGAGTTTTACAAAAATCCAGGGAAAGGGAATAAACTATCAACCATCTGGAGTTCAAATGTACCAAACATGAATCCTTCAGCATCATTTTGGCACGAGAAACAGCTTCCCTCTAATACTTACTAGAAATATACATAACTCTCCAATGTAGGGAAGGGACTTTAGAAGCTGTTCTCATTTAAAAATTCATATAGATATAAATTTGCAAAAGTAATGCCTATTGGGATATATCACAAGCAAATTTTGGTACAAAGTGGTGGTAAAGAAGTACCTGGTTCCTCATTGTTAATATGCTGAACTGAAACATAAAGATCAGCCATTTCTCTGCCTACAGTGATCTGAAGGATCACCGCTCCAGGGTCTCCAAAATAACAACAAAAAGGCCTCCATGACACTAAGGGATGCAAATTGATGACTAGGGCTTCCCAACCAGGTTTTGGGCCCACTCCACTGGCAAGGCATAGTCATCAGTGTACTCAGATCTATTTGCACCCCAGGTATTTCATTGAATTCCCTGGCACTATGAGTGAGAAATGATTTTAAAAGGTACTCAATTTAAATGAAAGAAAAATTAAGGTTTCTCTTTCTCTCTCTCTCTCTCTCTCTCTCTCTCTCATTAGGTAGAGTGGCATTAACAATATCAGGCCCAGACACTTTTTTTCCAAAGTATAAGACAGTATGCTTCAAATTAATGTTACCATTTGATTTTCTCTTCACATTTGTTATTTTATCCCACTGTGGACATTTTTGGAGGTGGTATGGTCAAGCCCCTCCAAACTTTTATAGTCAAAGAAAACAATATAAAATTAAGAAATCCATCAGTGGTGCTGTCTCCTAAACATAAACAAGTGTCTTATGTGGTTAGCAGAAACTCTAAAGAAAGTGTTTTCATTTTAAGGAATGGCTAGATGGATGGTGAGATGGATAGATATACCTCGGCAGAGAAAGAGAGAGGCCTATTGTCATTGATCTCTTTCCTCCTGCTGCTGAATATAGACAGATTCTATTCAGATTCCTTATATGCTACAAATCACAACGCCTTCTACAGCACAAATTGTTAAATTGTTAGGTTTTCAAAGGCTTAGAGAAATAACTTTCCAGAATTATAAAATTGACAATACACTCAAAAAAGAAGCATAGCCTTTTCTACACAGATACCCTCCAGATAATCTTCTACTCTTACAAGATTCAGGAAGTACCATCAAATCTATGAATAGTGAATTTAATAAATGGTGAAAGAGTCAAATTTTGGTATTTTCCCCAAGCTGCAAAGGGAATTCAGATGGACTGACATTTCCTAGAATATATGATTACAAACCAAAATCTTTGTCAGTGAAGAATTTTAAGATCTTTATGAACATTTTTTCAGAATTCAAAAGCCCAAGGAACTAAGTACAAGCATACCACACCCTGAAACAGAAGTGGATGATACAGAGGGAACATGGTAACAAGTAATTTGAGCTAAATGTGGATTTGGATGTAGTTTTAACTGACTCCTATTTCTGAGTTGAATGCTTACTATGTCTCTGTTGTCCAGATCTTACTTTTTAATTGCTAAGATGTTATAAATGGTCAAGATAAATAATTTTTAAGGAAATGTTGGCGAATGGGTCCATTTCCCCCCGATGTGCCTATTTTACAATGCATATGTCCCACAAGCACAAAAGAGGATTAAATTAGGTATCATTAGCTTTGTTTACTTAATAACCAACAAGGATTTCAATATTATACATATGTCTTGTTTTCCTTGTGGCACTCAGAGAAAGTCCCATCTTTGTTGAAATATGGCTTTTTCCTATCAGGATTTCCTAGGTTCAGGACCTGGACTCACCCAACAGGGATGCCAAAGTTTCAGTGTGTCCTTTTTCAGGGCTCATGAAGGTTAAAAGCTGGTTTATGTGAGACATCCAATACCCTGTTAAGTATCGTTGTGAAAATGTGACAGAATTTCACCATTTGAGCTTTATTTAGATATACAGCTTTTAAAAGCTCTTCCTGAATATACATATTTCTCTCTGCTTTTGGAAAATGTCTTAAAAGAAACCTTTTCCAATACAAATGCAGAAAATTAGGTACACAAACCAATCCACCACTACAGAAGAAGAATAAAAAATTGCAACTCTATTAGGGCATGGACTTCCACATGTTCACCCAGTACTTGTTCTGTTTTTTTTGTTTGTTTGTTTGCTTGTTTTTCATTTGTTTTTGTTTTTGTTTTTTGCTTTCTTTTTTTAAAAAAACATTTGACATCTTTTTTTTTCTGGACATCTAATGACAATGCAAGTGAAAAACATCACATTGGGTAAGGAGTTTTGAAAGAGGTTCGAATGCAAGAGGGACTATTCTCTAACTTAAAAACAAACACAACACTATGAAGAGGGAGTGTGCATCTTTGAGAAACCTTTTTCTTCAAAGTTAATGCACAAAATGAGGGGATTCACTACTGGCTCTTTCGCTTCACGGTGGAAGTGACCACTTGATGGCCACTTCGACATTGCTGCCCTGTTCGGGCTGCGATTCAGGCTTACAAATAAATTACATAATCTGAGGGAGTAGGAAAAAGGCTTATAAGAAGTTTCTATTCATTTGAAAGTTAAAGAGCCCCCACCCCATTTGACTGTCTCTTTTTCCATCTTTCCAGGAGTAGAGTTTGATTTCAGTCTTAACTCATGAGGGAGATGGTGAGGGGTAAGGCTTGCAGTCCTAGCGGCTGCTGTTCTTAATCGCTTCCTTTGCAGCGATAATCAGAGGAGTCAGGCTGGAGAGAGGCTTGGCTAATTTTAAAAATGGATGCTGCAAGAGAAGGAAAAAATATACGAATTACTGGAATTCTTTTCTGCAACAAGGATATTACTTTACATTTGCAAGCTGCCCTTTTTTCATTAAAATGTATTTTTTAAAAGGTTTTATTTATTTGAAAGGCGGAGTTAGAGAGAGAGAGGGAGAGACAGAAAGAGAGAGGGAGAAACAGGGAGAGGGAAAGAGAGAGATCTTCCATCTGCTGGTTCATTCCTCAGATGGTCACAATAGCTGAGGCTGGGCAGGGCCAAAGCAAGGAGCCAGGAGCTTCTTCCTGGTCTTCCACATGGGTGCAGGGGCTCAAGCACTTGACATCCTCTTTCACTTTCTCAGGGACATTAGCAGGGAGCTGGTTCAGAAGTGGAGCTTCCAGGACTCAAACCAGCACCCATATGAGATGCTGGCACTGTAGGCACAGGCTTTACCTGCTAGACCACAATGCTGGCCCCTAAAATGTATTTTAGGCACTCAAACATAATTCAATTAAAATGATGCTTGCTTCTGTCCCTCCAATGTTTTTGGAAGCCAACGAGCACAATTCTAAACTCCGTATAAGGATCTTGTAAAGTCGCTGAGTTTTCAATGGTTTTTCTTTGTTTAAAAAGTTTTTGAAAGTAGATCATTGTAAAACATTTAGGAATAAGAGAGGAAGGAGGGGAAGGGTGGGAGCACAGGTGGGAGGGAGGATAGGGTGGGGAGTATAACTATGCTCCTAAATCTGTATATATGAAATACATGAAATTTGTTTACCTTAAAAATAAATAATCAAAATTTTCTTAACAATAATTGTACATATTTATAGGCTACGATGTGACATTTCAATACCTGTATATAATGTGTACTGGTCAAAAGAGGGTAATCAACATTTCCCCTTCAATGACATGATTTTATGTTTGGAGACTCTGAGCTTCTTTCTTGTATTTGTTCAAACAACATTTACAGGGTTTTTGTGAACTGTAGTCTTCCCACCACGCTGTGTAACACTAGGAACTTTTTCCTTCCATCTAACTCTGATTTGATACTGATTTTCTTAAATTGATGAGTATTTATCTGGAGTAGCACGCATGCTTGAAAAAGTATCTTCAAATGATCACTAAAGAACTTCGCCCTGAAACCAATGGTTTCCTAACTGATAATCAGTTTTGTCTCTACCATTTCTATTATCTTTTGCACCCCCTTCAGTATTTAATACACATGAAATATCCTTTTTCTTATTTGCAATGCTTTCTATTTTGGGGGCCTATAACAGTATAGGATCTTGGGTCTCTTCCATGTGGATCAGCACAGATTACTCCCTCTCCACCTTCTTCCATGCCCCCCCCTTTTTTGACAGGCAGAGTGGACAGTGAGAGAGAGAGAGACAGAGAGAAAGGTCTTCCTTTTGCCGTTGGTTCACCCTCCAATGGCCGCCGCAGCCACCCCGGCCGGCCGGCGCATAGTGCTGATCCGATGGCAGGAGCCAGGTGCTTCTCCTGGTCTCCCATGGGGTGCAGGGCCCAAGGACTTGGGCCATCCTCCACTGCCTTCCCGGGCCACAGCAGAGAGTTGGCCTGGAAGAGGGGCAACCGGGACAGAATCTGGTGCCCCTACCGGGACTAGAACCTGGTGTGCTGGCACCTCAAGGCGGGGGATTAGCCTGGTGAGCCGCGGCACCGGCCTCTTCCCTGCTTTTAAGTCCTCCTCCTACCTCCCACAAATACAGAACTGAGTTCTCATCGCCTTTTTCTCATTTAATTCCTTACAGATCTGATTTCCTTTTATAGTTTCAACTTATCATCAGCTTTATGGGAATGACTTTCAATCTACATTCTGTGATTGACTTCCGATCTACATTATATGAACTGATCTTGTTTATCAATACTCCTAGTTCAATTTCCTGTTGGATATTTCCTCTAGAATGTTCTTCCACTGTATTGAATTCAAGATTTTAAAAAGATATGTTACAATCTCCCAAACAGGGTACTCTTATGTGGTATAAGCTACAGGAGTTTGGAGTCACCGCACCTTCGCTCAATCCTCACCTCTGTTTACCATAATGGTTAAATGAGGTAAGTGAGAGTCTCTTGTAAGCTACACAGGGGCAAAGAAATGTTACCCATTGCATCTTCCTCTATCATTTGTCTTTTTACTGAATACGAGCATTCAGTTTAATAGCTTGAAGTCATGGTTGTCCCTCTCTCTCTTATGTTCTACATGCAACCAGTTGCCAAGCATTTTCTTCTCAATGTCATGCATTTACCTATTGCTTTTCCTAGCTCAGGCCTAATCAACTTAATTTCAAACTATGATAACCCCCCTTAATCTTCCTACCTCAATTTTTCCCTGTTGCTAATTCTTACTGCGTACTGCCAGAATAACCTTTCTAATAAAAGCTTTCATCATGTTTGCTTGTCAGATATATTCAGCATTTCCCCACTGCTTATAGTCAAAACTCTTTAGCCTGGTATTCAAAGCCCTCTATGGTCTTACCTCCTTCAGCTTCCCAACTCTATACTTTAGCTGTGCTTCTTAAGTTCTATTCTTTCACATGTTTCTTGCCTACCTTTAGCCATACTGTGACACTTCCATCTGAAATCTCTTCTGCTTTTCTTCAAACTACTAAAATGTCCTTCAAAGCCCAGTGGACTTCCTTCGTATTCACAGACATCTTCTGATTGGCCTAGCCTACAGAGCTATTTCGCTAATCAACCATGTCATTTACTATTTGAACAGCCACTTGGTTTGAATTAGTTTCTTAACAGCATTGCATTATTTTTTTGTGTATCCAAAGAGATTGTGAGCTTTTTGAGACTAGGAGGCATGCCTTTAACAGGATTAAACCACTGCACTCAGTGCTGAGAAAATGGGAGTTGCTCCACAAAAATCAACTGGAGGATAGAGAACTGACTTAGGCTATATAGAAAGGCACAAAAATATTCAAGAGCAATGTCTCTTTTCCAGACTTCTATTGGTGTGAATGCTACATACTTCTCTCCTTTTAACCTCTAAAATGGGCAACTATGGGTTAATGTTAAAGAATGTAGTTATTTGGATTAAGGATGTATATACATTATTGCTTACATATATAAAATGAAAGTATGCAACAAATTATTAAATTTAGATTTAAAATATAATTTTGCATTAGTTATTTGACTGGGTCACGTTAAAATATTATTGGGAGATGACTTAACTAGATAATTAATTCAGTGATCTTTTTAATTGTAGAACTACAATACAAGAATCTGTATCTTCACTCATCCTTGAAAGAAGGCATAACAGGAATGTTATCAGGCTGTAAATGAGGGGTGAAAAGATGTGGAAGTGAAACAGCCAAAAAACCAGATTTTTCATCTGTAATTTGTGGTGGGGTTAACAAGAGCATTAATAAAGGGCCAGTCCAGCTTTGACATTTTAGGTCTCTCTGACAATCTGTGAAATGCTCACAAGTAGTAGAAAAGAGAATGTACTGCTTCCTCAATTCCTCCAAATAGGTTTACACTAGGTGTGATTTGGGTTGGGAAGTTTAGAAGTACAGGAACAGATTTTCCCTTGAGAGGAGAGGGCTAGAATAGTCTGAATATACAACCAAATGTTGCATCTTCAGTTAGCTTATATGCTCAAAGTCACGGAGAGAACAATCACTATTCTTAAATGTTAGAGATCTGGTTTCACATCGCTGAGGAACAGTCCCCAATAATAAAATGTATGCAATCCTGATTTATGTGTGATGTATGGAGGGGAAATCAGGCAGTTCGAGGCTGAAATCCCAGCTTGGCCATTCAAGGTTTGTATGAGTTTCAGTTTCCAGGTCTTTTAAAATGATATTAACATCCACCCCATAGAGTTGGTGTAAGAATTAAATGAGATTTTCTATGTAAAGGATTTGCCGAATAGACCGTAACTGTCATCGTAAATACTAATCCTTGAGAGCTGTGAAACAGACAAATAGTTACAGAGGCACTCACCATTGGATGGTACTCACCCACACAAGCAGGTGCCTGCCATTTGGCATCACAAGCAAAGGGGCTTTGACCAGTAAAGCATAAGAGTAGCAAATGCCACGGAAATAATTGCATAGTTATGTAGAGAATTACCTCCGGCCAAGAGCACCTGCATACAACATCCAGGGGGCACAAGTAAAGTTTAGAACTAACAGGAACACCAGAGGGTCACACTGGTTGTTTTTTCCTTGCAAATTAAGACTCCAGGAAGAACAAAAGAGATGTATAGATTAAAATGCCAACTTCTCAACAGAATGGCAACATATTAATCAATTTCATATTAGAGATATGCCTATACTTATGTGCCTGTGGTTAAAATCAAATGGTAATAGCCTGACGTTAACTAGACATCCCTTCACAGAGTTCTCTTACTGGTAGGCTCTGAGGTGGAAATTTTAATGTAACTACTCTTTGTAATTGTCCTATTTTATTATTACCTGCAAAAGCTCCTTGGCAGATCCTCGCCTATCCACATCCATCTCAAGACAGCGATTTAAAAAGTCACGGAATACAGCTGACAGTCTCTCAGGATTCTGGAGCTCCGGGGTTCCATTAGTGGCTATCAGATATAATGCCTATAGAAAAAAATTAGAAAAATCAATTCAGTTCATTCATATGAGGAACATGGGCGGGCACAGAAGGCACAAATTTGGTTTCATCTGCTTTGTATTCTAGGTCTTAAAATTCCACTTTAGGGAAAACACCGACATATATTTCAAAGTTTCTATAGCATTTAGAAATTATTAATCTTGATGATAACTGAGGTGACAATGATGTATCCTTCCTTCAAAAAAAAAAAAAAACTAGGAAATAAGGTTAAACCAGAGTTGATCCAGGAAAAATGCATATATAATGAATGTTTGATTAAGCACCTAGGAAATTAAACTAAAGGATTAATTCTATGAATTCATGACTCTAAAGAGTTGGGGAACACATGCACATACTATCATGTTGACCTGAGTATAACCTCTAGCAAGTGAAATGAAAAAGTGATTGCAATTTACTAAGTGCTTATCTTGTTTGAATAATATTTGTGAGCAGATATGGGATGAAACCAGAAAATTATAGAATTACATAAGTACAAAGAACCAAAAAATAGCAGTGCCTGGATAAGAGATGATCTGTAAGGCCAAGAGCTGAAATACTTTTGTCCCATGGCAGCTGTATCCCTATAGATTTCCCATGAGGATTTATCTATTATGAGAGGAAATATTAGAAAGCTGAAATTAGTAGTCCTGGCACCTAACAACTATGTATCCTATGGTAAAATAATAAGTTGCTATATGTATACTTCTGAGATCTTTGCTGCGTGAGGCCACCACTGAGTGTGGTGACAGGGTCACCATTCCTGGCCTTGAAGGTAAAGGGTTGGACCCAGGACGATTATTAATCCACAAAGGTAAATCCATCTTTTGAAGGTTCTTGATAAAGAGCTATAAAAATGTTGGTCTTCCCTAAGCAAACAATTTTAGAGTATTTAATGCATACCAAGCATTAGATACTAGAGATTCAAGGATGAATAAGAGTGATCTTTTCAAAGATGACACAGTTAGTGAGGGAAAGAGACTTTCAAAAGAGTTACAATACTCATGCAATGAGAACAGGGCTAATAGAAAAATGTAGAAAGTGCTAAGTGAATACAAGGATGAAAACAATTTACACCAAAGCTCTGAAAAACTTTACTAGAGGAGGCTGGCATTTGAACAGGGTCTTAAAATAGGAGTTTCCTCAAGGTGCTGTCACCAGGGTTATGCTTGCCCATGTGACCCAGCTCCAAAAGTATTATAAAGGTATGTTCCTTCCAGAACCTGCTTGGACTTTGCAGCAAATTATTACTATCTCCTTTTCCCAACAGTGGCTCCTAATGTTACTATTACAAATATCTTCATCAAAGTTCTTTGCCAGGCCAGTTTTCATCAGCTGGTGAGGACATGTGTTTCCAACAACCCCATAGCCATACCTCAGAAAGAATCAAGAAGGATGGTTAAATCTAGTAGCTATATTATGTATCATGCAGCAAAATCAAGAAGAGAGCTTATTAAACATATTTTCCTGGGCCACCCTAAGAGTTTCTGAGTTAGCAAATCTGGAGAGGGGACCAAGAACTGGCATTCTAATAACTGAAATGGCTGCTCCTAGACCACACTTTGAGAACTGGTTTAATCCACCCAAGTAATTAAGAAATAGGATAATAGTCTTGTTTATGTGATCCCTTTGGCTCTTAGTACTATCATTATGATCAATTGTGAACAGAAATTGATCACTTGGACTAGTGAGATGGCATTGGTACATGCCACCTTGATGGGATTGAATTGGAATCCCCTGGCATGTTTCTAACTCTACCATTTGGGGCAAGTCCGATTGAGCATGTCCCAGATTGTACATCTCTTCCCTCTCTTATTCCCACTCTTATATTTAACAGGGATCACTTTTCAGTTAAGTTTCAACACTTAAGAATAACTGTGTATTAATTACAGAGCTCAACCAATGGTATTAAATAGAACAAAAAATACTAAAAGGGATAAAGTATTAAGTTATTCATCAACAGTCAGGGCAAGGGCTGATCAAGTCACCATTTCTCATATGTCCATTTCACTTGAAGCTTTACTTAATATATGCTAAATTGATCTTCTGTATGTAAAGATAATTGAAAATGAATCTTGATGTGAATGGAAGGGGAGAAGGAGCGGGAGAGGGGAGGGTTGCGGGTGGGAGGAAGTTACGGTGGGGGGGAAGCCATTGTAATCCATAAACCGTACTTTGGAAAATTATATTCATTAAATAAAAGTTAAAAAAAGAAATAGGTTAAATAAAAGATTCCCAAAATTATCTGCATATTAGCATCACCTGAAGAGATTTTAAAACTCCCCACACTCAGTTATCACTGTCAGACTAATTTAAAAATCTCTGGGAGTGGAACCACTCGCTTAGTATTTTAAAACTCTCCAGGTGATTTCACTTTGCAGGCAACATCAAGAAACACTGGCTGAGATGTGAAGAGAGAAAATATCCAACAAACAACTTGAATGAGATGGGAAGAGAAAAAATATCCAGGAAACACCTGGCAAATTGTGACACAATGCAGAATGTTTTCTTCCCCAAGAGTTTACTTTTATTACCTTATCTCTCTTTCTTCCCTATGAAATTTAAACACGCACACACACACACACACACACACAGGAGCTTCAGAAAGTTAATGGAAAATGTGTATTATGAAAAAAATATGATTTTAAAATTTTTGCACTAAAACTTTTAATTGTCTTTACACAAACATTTTAATTTATCCTCCTATATGTTTCATATGTGTTGTATATATTATAGAAAATATTATATACTATACATTTAATGTGTCTTGGTTTCCATATAAATTAGCTCATTTACAATAAGCTCCTAACGCTGGCGCCGTGGCTCAATAGGCTAATCCTCCACCTTGCGGCGCCGGCACACCGGCTTCTAGTCCCGGTTGGGGCGCCGGATTCTGTCCCGGTTGCCCCTCTTCCAGGCCAGCTCTCTGCTATGGCCAGGGAGTGCAGTGGAGGATGGCCCAGGTGCTTGGGCCCTGCACCCCATGGGAGACCAGGAAAAGCACCTGGATCCTGGCTCCTGCCATCGGATCAGCGCGGTGCGCCGGCTGCAGCGGCGGCCATTGGAGGGTGAACCAACGGCAAAGGAAGACCTTTCTCTCTCTGTCTCTCTCTCTCTCACTGTCCACTCTGCCTGTCAAAAATTAAAAAAAAAAATAAGCTCCTGTCTTTACTGTATTAAACCAGCTATAGGTTTTGTAGGATTGTGTTAGACATATATACCTCTATTGTCTTCACAATAAAGAAATGATTAAAAAAAAAAAGAACCACTGGCTGAGGACCAGCAGTTCACCCCAGAGTTGACTCAGAATCTCTACTTCATCAGCACACCAAACACAAGAGTTACACAATCCCATAGAAGGAGATGCTCCTGTGTAATGATATGAGAATTAAAATGTCATGTGCTTTTACAAAATCCAATGAACCTTTTTGATTTCCCTCTAGTTCATTAAAACAATTCACATGTAAACCCCCACCATCTTCAAAAGAAACACCTTCCTTCCCCCTTGCTCTCCTGTTGTTCAAACATTTTTATTTATTTACTTTTAATTTATTTGAAAAGTAGGGAAGGAAGGAGGGAGGGAGAAACACACACACACACACAAAGAGAAAGAGAAAGAGAGAGAGAGAGAGAGGATCTCCCATCCACTGGATCACTCTTCAAATGTCCATAATAACTGGACCTGAGCCAGGCTGAACCCAGGAGCCAGAAAGTCAATCCGGGTCTCCCACATGGGTGGCAGGGACCCAAGTACATGAGTCATCATCTGCTGCTTTCCAGAATATATATTAGCAGGGAGTTGAAATCAATAGGGAGTAGAGCTGGGACTAGAACCCTGGCACTCTGATATGGGATTGGGGCATCCTTAGTGGCCCTCTTAACTACTATGCCAAACACTCCTTCTCTCTTTCTCTTTCCTTTTAATTTTTTATTAAGATTTATTTATTTATTTGAAAGGCAAAGTGACATACATACATACACACACACACACACACACACAGAAAGGAGAGAGAGAGAGAGAGATCTTCCATTTGCTGGTTCACTCCTGAAATGGCTGGAACAGTCAGGGCTGGGCCAGGTGGAAAAGCCAGGAACTCCTTCTAGGTCTCCCACATGGGTGACAGGGCCAAGCACTTGGGCCATCATCAGTTCCCTCCCAGGTGCATTAACAGGAAGCTGGATCAGAGAATTTGGGATTGGATGCAGGTTTAACCTGGTGTGCCATAATCCTAGCCCTTTTAATTTTTAGTCGCTTTACTGAGCAAGCAAGAGCAAGTGGCATCTATTAGGATCAAAACAGATATATTACCTTAAGTTTAGACAAAATGTTGTTCTTGGATGAGTACTGCTTGAAGCACCTGTCCTCACAAACCATTGGGACATCATAAATAAGAGCATCAATTGTTAAATCAACAGTAGGAGTCACTGTACATTTACTCCCCATGTAGGATCTCTGTCCTTA